TTAAAACCTGAAAGAAAAAATAATTAATACCTGAAAGAAGGAATTATTATTAAATTATTCAAGAGAGTAGACAATGGCCATTGAATAGCCATTGATCAAGCCAACGATGATATATAAATAAACCAACGACGAAGCATTCGAATATTGTACAAAATATTCGAATGCACAAACAATGTAATCTAGAATAAAAGAAATAGAATCTGAAAGAAGAAAGATAATTAAAAGCTGAAACAAAAAATAATTAGTACCTGAAAGAAAAATATTAACGCGGACCCTCCGAAGTCGAAGCGACAACTGGCTCGAGCCTGTAGGCGGGCCTCTTATATAGCGGCGGTCGACCGAACATCGGCGAAAATTTCCGAACTTTACCGATTCCTTTAAAAGTTACTTTTCCGCTGTAATAACTAATAATCTATTAACTTTTTTGACTTTTATCGTTAATATACGTTATAAACTATTTGTTAACAACAATTTTAATTTACTGTTGACAATAAATTTTTAATTTATTAGCTTCTTGTATGTTACGAATACGTTTTAATACAAACACGTTGTTTGTTTAAGAAGTAGCTAATAATTTAATATCTTTTTTTACTTTTATCGTTAATATAGGTTGCGAAATATTTGTTATTAACAGTAAATGTAGCAATTTATTAAATTTTAGCTAATTATAGATACATTTTCGAGCAAATACGTTATATATACTTGTAATAGCCTATAATTTAGTAATTTTTCCACTCGTATTATAAATTTACGTTGTGACCAATTTATTATTAGAAATTAGTGTAATAATTTTTACCCTTTTGCAAATTATAGGTACATTTAAATATTAGTATAGATACTGTTCAATTAATAACCAATGAAATAATTCTTTTCTTGTATTATAAGTTAACGCTATGAAGAATTTATTATTAATAACAAATTGGATTATTTATACATTTCTATAAACTATAACTGTATTTGAATGACGTCATGGAAAATAATTCCATCCACTTACGTTTAACATAATTTCTTATAATTTTACGATTAGTGTAAGAAAAAGTACATAAATGCGTATACATATGCGTACAAGGAATGAGATCTGCTGGACTGATTTTGGTGAATATTTCTCTTCGTTTTTTATGTTATACAGATTTCAAAATATTCTACAGCTTTTCTTTCTGAGGTATGTTCCTGTGTCTGTCCACAGTTCTATTTTTCTGTTATCTTCAATTGCTGTTTGCACCGTAGTTATTCCGGTAAACAAGCAAACCATCCTTTTGGACTAAAATTTCCGCGAGTTTTCTTTTGAATTCTCTCGACGAGTCAGTTTTTCCTTTGAAAATCCGCTGGAAAATGTTTATTTGTGTCAGATTTTGCGTCCGTACGATTCTTTTCTTCTCTGATCGTAATTTTCGATATTTTTAAAACGTACAGTCGGATTCCGAAATTATAGTCTAGGGCTAGCTTCAAAGAAAAGGAATCAGTTTATTCCACGGAAATAAAAATATAAATTATTTTTTTGCCTGCAGCCGTTGATCGTATATTAATTGTTATCTTGTCTTATTTTCACGATGATTCGTTATACTCGCCACACCAAAGCTCGTCCAAAAAATAATCTACAATAATTTATTACACTCTGTATACCTAAGCACGTATCAAAAATTCCAAACATACCACTATTTCAAAATTTCAAGTACCTATTATTATTATTGAACCACCAATATCACAATAACCATAATTAGTAATATACAGAAAATTACAAATATACCAATATTCTAAACTTACTAATTACAGTAATTACCATTATCGAAATATCACTAGAAATTCTTTCCCACGTACGATAATAACTAAAATTTTTGATCAACGTGTTCCATCAAATGCAACGAATTTATTTCCATAATCGTCCGAAACTCTACGTACTGAACCTTTTCCGTGAACCAGCTTACCCCGAATCCTGACAGAGGAAGACCAGGGCCGCATAGAGGGTTCCACTTCGGTCGAAATTGCAGGATAAATACAGCTGACGTTAATAAACTCTTATCGGCATGCAACCATGCGTGTAGACTTTAAGCCACAGACGCGCTAATCCTCTATGCTAATTTCGGTCGGCCAGGAAAACGACGACCATAATACCACCCCTTTGGACACGCGTGTCCGTGTGAGGGTACGCAGCCGCAGTGGAAAATGATGCGTATAACTGTCCGCAAGAAGATACACATATACATACATGACCAAGTAACAGACCCTCTTATTTTCGGTACTTCTCGAGTATCTTCAAGGACACGTACATCTGTAAAAAAATGAAATTGTATAATTAAAAATCAAATTTGATTTTGCGAATGAAGATTGATAATATGCTATTAACAGAGGGGTTGGAAAATAATCTTACCTTTGAAATACTTATATAAACGTGGCAAAAATTAATATTTTTCATTTGTCTTCTAAAACTGATATAATGGATAATTTTGGTGGCCAGATTTAAATTTGGCGCGCAAAGATACGCGAGGTATCTTCTTATTCTTAAATAATTAAATTTGTTTGATACATTTTTGTTTTATAAAAAAGTATGAGGAGCGATATGACATTTTTGTAATATATTTTGCAAGGTTGACTATCGTATTTGTTTATTGAAAGTTAGTGAACAGTGCCGGACTGCTTGTTAAATTTTCTAGTGGAATGAGGAAGTGGTTAAATTGCTGCAAGCTAAAGGCGAGTTTCTATGTCCTCGAAGCAACGAAGAGAGAATTATATGAGAGTTTACACGCAATTGTTATTGCGAAATTTTATATATTCTTAGCGTGTCGAATGTCTTTCGTCTGAAACATATGTCGAACTTGTTAGAACTATTCAAGTTTATGTTTTATTATATCCGTCAAGTGGTAGTGTATTGCTACTTGTACGCAGTTTAATCTAGCACGCTTTAACTGAAACTTTTTGCAGCTTGAAAATGTTTTTAACTTGTATGTTCGTTTAAGAATTAAATTTCAACTAACAGCTGCTTAAATGAATAAAAAGATATTCATACAATGTTACTTTAATCGTTGGTGAATAAATTCAAAGAGCTTAGTGAATTATACATCCCAAGTTTAGCTCTCTGCGAGGTAGAAACTGTAGAAATTTTCATGAGCCATTCTACAAGCAAATCAAAAATTTACTTTTTCACATACACATTTCTCTCCAGATAAAAGACTATATGGATAGAAGACTATCCATGTTCGACCAAAAATGAAATCAATGATATATAAAGAATTAAGAAATTTCTATATTTTAAATCCCTTCTATTTATATTTCTCATTATCATCATACGCTTCGAAGGTTTGAATATGCTGAATAATTTCGCACATGAATTTCCATAATAATTAAGGGGTCTTCTCGCTCACAATAATCAACGCACTCCACGCAGGGGTACTTGAATTTAACAACCTTTATTACAAGCACATTGGTTTGTTCTTCCAATACATTCGTAGAATACAATATACATCGTACAATACCAAAACTTACGTAGCCTAAATCTATAACTGTAATTAATATTTAGACTGTATCTCGAAATTTACCTCGTGCGGGTCTATCTACAGCGAAATTAACCTCCAAAAGCGGGAATACTTCAACGCCCAGTATCCTGCGTGATCGCGATGTGGAAGAGGAAAAAGCAGAAGCGAGCAACGCTAACGACAAAATGCGAATGCTCCGACGAAAATATCGAACGAAGGATATTTCGAAGCATATAACGAAGGAACATCAATCCGATATCCGCAGGATTTAAATAAAATCGCCATTATAGCGACGCGAGCGCCACCGCTATTACACGAAACGAAGTACTACGCTCCGATTCGAAAAGACACCGACAGAACGGAGAAAACGAAACGAGGGAAGAGAAAGAGGATAAAGAATCCGACTGAAAGCATCCTTGCGAGCAAAATGCGGACTAATTCAGACACGCGAGTTCTGTCCTCGTGATATTTGTCCAATGTTTCTCGACGCGTGCCTTCCTAACCTCTTTCGCCGATATATCGAGCGCTCCCGATCGTGGCCTTTCTAACTTATCCACTGAAATCATCACCGCGTAGATGCACTTTCAGGGGTGGAACAGCTGATGGTAACGGGCCACAACAGATGGATTCTACGGTTTGACGGCAGCTTTTATACACAGCGTGCGATCCGAAATCACCTGTCGATACAAAAAGCGAGTGTTAAAATGAAATCGATCGTTGTGGTATTTACGTATGAATTCGGTATGGCGATTGATTAACGCCGAATTAATATTCCGATAGAATTAAAGCGGCGTAATTGGCACGTCGGCCGGTAACGAAATAATTGTAAAAGTTACGAGATAATCGATACATGTGACAATAATCGGCAAATTTGCAGGGGACTTATTGGCAAAACGCTGGCTGGAATATCATTTTCGAGTAATTATAATTCTCTGCTTAATTGGGGTTGTAATGTACGCACGTAAAACGAAAGTGAATAATAATAAGTAAATATGTCCCTGATTGAATATGTACATTTAATTGAACCCTTAATTACTTAAATAATTGTTCGCGACCGAATATTTTCAAGGATGCAAATTATTTTCTAAGATACATGCTTTTGATCAAGGAAATTGTACAAAATTTGAAAATTCAGGCATGTATTTAGGTAATATCGAGGGTATTCGATGACTAGGGCAATTACACGAGGAAATTGCATTTTAATTACATTTTAATTGAAAAAAATGGGATAAATATTCGATACTGTGGAACTTGAAATTTAAATAAAGATCACTTACCCTAACTTTTGTGACTCTCTATATATTTACTCCGTCTTTTTTCTCAGATATGATTTCTTGTAATAGTCGCAGAACATGCAGAACATGATAAGGATCTGGGACATGTAGATAAAAGATATCGGTTTCCGGTTCGGTTCACACGAAGGTAACAATGTTTGAATTGTATGACATATCATGATGATGAACTGGATCTGAAATCACAAGAAAACATTAATTTAATATCTTAATATATCATTTTAACCCTTTGCACTGGAGAAGCGATTCTCAGTCATCGTTAAATTTTAAAGATCGATGTTAATTACGATTATCGATGTTAATACATAGAAAAATACTAATATATGGCTAAACAGTCATCTAACAATTATTAACCCTATCATACCACGCTATATAATCTCGCATGAAAAATCGAAGTCCAAAATCACAATTAACGGGGAGACAAATTCCCAAGGAAATAACGAAAAGAACCGTCTTGGACGAGAGAAAAGGGGATCGAAAAGAACGTTGTTCACGCATAACGGAACTTAATAAGGTCTCTTCGCGTTGTAGGTAAAATGACACTGGCCTATCGCGGTCCTCCGCAGTCAAAGCCGCGACGCTACTCGTCGCAGCGTGAAACGCTTTAAACTCGAAATTAAACGACCGCGTAACCCGATAAATCGTCCTGTAGATATCTCGCAGAGAAATAAAAGTCCCCAGCCCGACGGATTATTTAATCCCCCCCCCCCCCCCCCACTCCTCCTTTCTCGCGCGCCCAGCGCCATTGTTTCCTGTCGGGACTCGAAACGCAAATCGAATCACTACCGGTACACGTGTAATTCCACATTGGGCACTTACGACCCTTTCAACCCCCTGTGCAAAAACCCGGTTATCGAGTTAGGCGAGCCAAATGCGAGCCAATATGCACGCTAAACGCAAAACACGTGTACAGGCTGTGTCAAAAGGCTGGTGCGGGACTTTGAGCGCGAGTCTGATCAGGTGTGCAAATTAATTGGATATTCTTGGCTTCGCCTGTTTCCAATTTAAATTTAAATATTTTTGACTCGAGGAAATGTCACCTACGTTTATGTGACTTCGTAGGAATTATTGTCAGTCGGGTAATATAGTAATTTTATTTAAGAAGCAATAAATTAATAATTAAAATTAATATTGGAACTAGAGAGAAGGTTGGTACAAATATATACTCATAAATAAATTTTAATGATGAAAAGATCAATTGGAGTCTTAATGAGTATGTCATCATATAGTCGCCTTTCTACATTTTATTATTATTTTTATTATTATACATATATTAAATCTGTGTATTTTTCTAATTGTTTCTACTAAACCGACAAGTTAAATTGCGATATGTTTCCATAAAAATGTTTTCATTTTGATCGAATATGGAAAGAGATCGAGTTGATTGGTAGCCTTGTCAAATATAAATACGAGTGCAAAGGGTTAAATGTATAGATGGGCAGAGCATAGCGAAGTTGGCATAGACTGTAGAGCTCGTTTAAGGGAATCGGGACAAGCAGGACTATTTTCACAAGCTGCCGTAATTTCACACCGAAGTATACCCCTTTGTTTTTCACCTGAGCTGCATACACAATAGTTCTTGAGTGCCACCATAAGTAAAACCGAGTGGATTTAAATTAAGTGAACGTGGCAGACACCCCAACTAGTCCACCAACATACTGCCTTCACGGATATTATGTACCAAAATATTATAATTATAAACCGTAAATGTAACTTTGAATAATTTAATAAAAATACGGGGCTTTTGGAAATATTTCGTATGAAGCCTATATTTAATTTTAATTTATGTACTATAGTAGATGCAAATTTGCATAGAAAAATTCGCAAATTTTGATAGTAACTGTGTTTGTATATGAATAATTTCTCTTTCTTTGGGTAGAATTTGTACCATGATTCTTGCCCAATCTTTCTGATACACCCGGTATATCCACGCAATAAATTCGACCAGCCCGATCGTGTACGAATGTATGTATGTGTTTTTTCCGTGCTTCTCGTCGACGAAAACATATTGCACCTCTTAACGATGGAGATTCGGTGGTTGAAGGCGTGGCCGAGTTTCATTGTTTTCCGAAGTGCTTGAACAGGACTTGAGCAGCTTTTTATTCATTTTCCCGCGATTCGTAGCTTGATTGGCGACTCGAATGAAATTTTCAGCGGTGCAATCACTTTGTTAAGGATGCGCCAGTTTCGATACGTGATGTATGACTGTCAATATTGTTTGGTTTGGATACTCAAGAATTTTCATTTTTATAAATTTATCTCAACGATGGTGGTATCACTGAGAAGTTCCAAATGAGAGGGTTTTTAGGTTAAGTGTACCTAATTTAACAATTTTCGGAATTTAAACTACTTCATAGTTATTGTATTAAATGTTTATACGGTTAGAAAACAAATTTGTTACGTTCGACCACGAATTATTATTTTTGAGAATAAAAATGAGTTAAAAAATCACTTGACTAATGTGAAAATGGCTAACCTAACCTCTCCCCACATCAAAGCGGTAAATTATTATTTATTATCATGAAATAAAATTGAAATTAATCTTCCAGTGATTCTCAAATTATTGTCGTAAATTCAATTACTCTTGAGTATCGTATAAAAAGTTAACTACATAAATAATTATCTTAATAATTTTATCTGACACGTATATTTTACGAAATAATGTAAAACACACGTTACAAACTCGAATTAATATTAAATGAAGAAAGAAAAATACCCCGAGTGGAATTTTCTCGTCACGAAACGAGCATTCTTTTTCATTAAGGATCAAAATCTTCGATACGGAACGTTAGATCTATTTTGTGAAATTGCTCCCATTAAACATGGCGGAACGTGACATTCTGAGTTCGAGATGAAACAAAAAGGTTTCCGCAGGAACGTGATTTATTCCTGGTGCTTCGTTATCTCCGAAAAACGTTGCCGCTGTACACCTTTTTGACATTTATATTTTACGGCTGCGTGCATTTCATCTCTGATTCTTGGCATGCAGTGAAAGCATAAAGAATAATTCCGCTGTAACCGTAACGATTGGTTTACACGAATCATATTGAATTCTTTATCATCTCCCTTCGGTCAGTCATTCTTTTTCAAGACTACACGGTATATCTTTATTTTCTCTAGAAATACTACGTCAAAATAATTAAACCAATTTTAATTTTTGCTCTAATCTGCAATATTCATTATACGATTCTTGTAGAGTTTACGTCCCTGAATACGAATCCGTAATCGAAATTGCTCTATCACGCTCAGTTTCTGAAAAATCTGTGTTTTGCTAAAAAGGCACGATTTTTGGCTAAAATGAAGTATTACATAAAAAGTAAAAACGTTAGGCGGTTCGTTATTATCTTAGAAGTTAGGTGAAAGTATCCTGAGTTTATCAATGTCCATAGTTATAATTATTCGTGCTTCTGAATAATTATAATTGGTCATCAATCTTTAAAAATAAATTACCGAGCGTATTTTATACATATATTCCTGTATTTTTACAAAAAGTTCTTTCTCTGACACGAATTTGTTACACAGTATGGTACTCTGTAGGCTTTTCTGAAGAAGAAACCATGAAACAAAATTGTCGAAACAATTTTCAATTCGATTAGATCGAGACAAAAATTAAATCTAGAGTACAGATGTAAAACATACGAAATAAAATTGTATTATAAAATCTTTCTTTAAAACTACGTATAACAGGGATAATTCACATTTCTAACTTACAAAATAAGTAAACACGAATTTCCTCTGAAATAACTCAATGGGAAACCAAACATAACCTCGAAACTAGCCAAATACAAATTTCGATTCCAAACGAAGTCAATCGATCCGTTAATTTCCACGCGAAAATCATATTTAAAACAACTACACTCGTTCACAAAAAAGCACACCTAATAACCCAGCCATAATTAATAAGTCCTTCGACTATGTGAATTCTCGAACCATAGCGCGACATAAATTCCACGTGTACTCTCGCTAGCAGCGTTACATCCGCGCGAATTCCACGCTATTACCATTATCCAATCACCCGGTTTCGCAAACAGTTTCGCGAGTGTATCGACGAATAGCCGCGTATATCGGTCGGTATTTTCTACGCGTTATTCGCTTATATAGATTAATTTACTTAGCCGGCCGCGCCACCGTCGCGACGGTCGAACGTCAATAGTAATTCCGCGTTTAAAAAATTCGCAGCAGGGACACGGAATGTAATTTTGCCATTACGCGATACGCGGCACGGTGTACGGTGAAATGAGCGAATAACGTTCCCAACACGGCAATTCAGCGGGAGCCAACGAACACGGTACTCTCCTACCGGCGATACGTGCATTCCGGTATGTATGCAGCGAGGCAGATAGCGGAGTCAGATAGAAAATGGGAACGTACCATTTGTAACCCCGTAATGTATTGTTTCCAAGGCGCAATCCTCTTTTGCACTTCTGGGCCCAAGCAGGCGAGCAGATAATAGGTGTACATAATCACGTGCACGATGCAGTTTGGCATCATCGTGAACGTCCACATGCCGCCTGTAAATAACAACGCGTCGTTTTAACGCGACTACAAAGGCGACCCCATGCGGATAATAGTACGAAGCTGAACGAACAGTTACCACGGTCGGTGCAATGGATTTCGATAGAAGGCGAATTTTATTTACGACCGATGGAAATTCGCTCGCGTGTTTTACACCAGCGTGTATTTTCCTATACGGGTAATAGGTAAATCTGACACATCGCGACGCCATTTATAACCTCGATACGTGCGGAGTCTTTTTGTTCAGAAAGTGTCGTATAAAAGTCGATCAAGCGATAGGTTAGCTGTGGTTTGCATGGAATAAAGTTATTCGCGAGGATAGAAAGATACTAAGCGAATCTATAAACGCATGGTTTTCACAGGTGTGATAAAACGTTCTTAAATCGTCCATTTATGTAGATAGAACTACAGCGAATGATATCGACCGATGTAACTAGGGAAAAATTTTTTCGCCCGTTAAGCTGTTATTAATGACTGTTTATTCGTAATTTAAATTACAAAAATATTTTTTCTTTTATAAAATGAGTAAAAATTAAATTAATTTTATGTGTTTCTTGTCAAAATCATTATATTGGTAATTTCCCTTCAAACTGCAAATGCGTGTTCGTATTTCAGTGTATAGTAGTATAAATAGAATGGGGTTCTAGACCAATTACGTTCGTTCTAGCATACTCTACGGTAATTTAAAAAATCCATCTCATTTCTTCCGTCCTCTATTTTTATTCGAAGCGAGGGTTCATATCGATTCCTTTTAGTATAATAACCGTTCAAATCGAATAAATGTCGAGAACAATTGCAAAATCGAAAACATAGGAAATAATTGAAAGAAAAAGGTTAATAAAAGTTAGGTGTATTTTTAACTATCTCGATGAAAATATTTTCATATTGAAATTGAAAATTGGAATAGCGTAACGCGATGAACCCAGAAATGCGACAGCGAGTTTGACTAAAAATATAATTACTGAAACATCACGTCGGAGATAGGTAATAACACGGATAACAATATCTTTCATTTTTCGTGACTTTACCACACCTTTGCCCTAAATAAAAGAAGTAAAAATGGACGTTCGTAGAAGTACTGAAAAATATCCAGGGAACGTGGATTCAGATGTAAAAATATACTACATCGGATTGAAGTTAAAAGTAAATTTGCACGAATGTCTGAAGATTTACCTGGAACAAATTTGCACGCTATCCACGAAAGGAGAACGGTCGACGCGTGGTGATAAATGTGAAGAAAAGACGCTTGGTTGTATTTTTTCCTCAAAATGAAGATGACGGTGTCGCTCAACTCGAGGACTTTCAACATTAAGAGCCTCCACACCCATCGAGCCATCTATTAAGTACGACACAACTCTCGTAATATCGAAATTCGCGCTTCTTTAATGCCTTCGGTACTTACGCGATAAGATTCCGAATCGTTGGAAACTGTGTGGGTCTCGCATCCGAGGGAGAATTTGGTGGTGAAGCCTGACGTCAGCAACTTGCAACATAAAAATGTGTTCGTTATTTCAGAAATAATTAAAATTGTTAATCTATAATAATATCGTATTCTTATATCATCCTATTCTATTAATTAAATATTAAATTGATACACCAATATTATTATTTTTCAAACAATTGCTGTTGTAAATTGACATCCTAAGCTTCGAGTATTTTAATGGTAGTATATAACACAGTAGTGCTGCATCGAATATTAACCACTCGTACTGCAGTGGCGCCAGTACGGAGACATTGGTAACTCGCGATGTGTTATTTTCTTATATCCTCGCCGATAAAAATAGAAAAGTAAGAATACTTTCCTGTTTTGTAAATGAATTCACAGATATTTATAATTTATTTTCTCAAATTTTTCTAAATGACAATTTTCTTTTAAATTTTAGATTGCAAAATCGTTTTGGAGTTACTCATTGATCGAATTAAAAAGTTCTCAATGTGCAAAGTGCTTTCTGTTCATCTATATATCTTCAAAGCTGAAGTAGGCATACCAAAATGTTTAGAACGAAGATTTAATAGTGTCTTATGCTTTTTAAGATTATACTGTAATATAATATCTTTCAGATGTACTCACCCCGTGAAATACAGTTGCACTCGCAGTTGCCATGAAAATGTTGTAACAAATCATAATCTTGTTTAAATTGAATGGCTTTCGATTCTTCATGTACAGTGGGCCAAGATGAAGCACGAAGATCAGATAAAGAGATATAATTCCCAGCAACGGAAACGGGTTACCCATTAATAACCAATCTGCCACTCTGGAATCTGAAATAAAGAATTCAAGATGATTATACAGCTTTTCTTATCGAATGAAGAAATATACATCTCTATTTTTAATTATACATAAAATATATCGTTAAGGAATTGAAATAAATTTAATATATAAATCTCGAGATCGACCTATTCTAAATTTTCTTAATTCAATTGAATAATCTAGTTCACTGGATTACAGATAAATGTGTCAAAATATTCGAGAAGCTGACCTGCTGCATCTTCCATGATGTAACGATACGTTTCCAAGAGTCCCACGTTCTGCAAGCAGTAAAGAAACCAAGTTTATAATATTGTCGAAATAGAAAATTACCGGCTGTAAATAGATCTTAATTGAACAGCAACCGATAACCACACAGTAACACGGGGAAAACAGGAAAGGGATATTAAGTACCCAAATTTAATATCAGATATGAAACACGTACAACTATCAGCAAATTTAATAATCACGAAATTACCACTATCGAATTATATCTATTATCATTAAACAGAATTAACCTGAAACGCTAAAATTAAACGAATTTTTGGAAAATAATATTCAAAAAACTGCAAACATTTTCTGTTTCACACAGAGAGACATAAAAATTCAATTATTGATACATTCAACGTATTGCATACATCTTGTAAGCATAATAACAAATATTCCTTAATAATTTTACTGGATACAAAAATATAGGAACAAAGTCTACAACGACGTGTAACTTTTCACAAAATTTATAGCCCAATGTACATTCACTTTGATAGAATATTTTATTTTCCAAAAATTCTTTTTGTAAGTTTTAACACGATGTTACTGTTCATTTATGTCGTTGTTTCATTCGAACGAAATGATATTTAGGTTTTAACAAATGTTAGTTTAAACTGATTTTCGAAAATTCCAAGAGACGAGCTAAGTTTAGTATTTAAATAAAAGTGAGAAAAATACCTGTGGCACGTGAATTGGGTGTCCCTTTCCATCCTGGCCGTCAAGTTTGCGAATATCGACTGACATTCGGGTTACTGAACGATTCCAATAGTGACTATCGACGTTAACACCGTCTTTCGTGGCGGCAACCTACTGTCTAAGTTCATCCGCAGGGCAAGCACCCCTAGCAGTGACTCGGGAACAGGAACGTAACACACAAGCACAGTTCCCTGTAAAGGGTTTCTCGCACACCCTATTTTAATACGATAAAGAAACGCGTTCAAGACTGGAGCAGTGGGGAATATTGCTTGCATATCGCATGAGTTACGTCTAATCATTGCAATCTTTGACACACTTTCTCCGTCGTCGTGATACAATTGTGAAAATAAAAATTCCAAATCGTCAAATTTCAACCATATTTGCACAAAATTCGCAGCTCTGAAAGATGCCGAAATTTTTCGACAATTATAACAGATATATGGAATTCTAAATTTATATCTAAAACGTAAGAGAATCTTCGTATAGTGAAAAATTTTGAAAAATTTTTAAACGTTGGTTGATATATACGATTTGAAAGAAATTGAACACGTGTGCTTTTATTATATATATATATGGAATACAAGTAAATTTGAAAATTACAATTTTCGTGAAATTATTTTTCAAATTTATTGTATTGATTAATTACGATTTAAATTTGTTATCTTTAAAGAAATTTCCACGAATTCGCGTTCTTTGATGTTCGGAGATATTTTAATCGTATGAAACGTTGGATTTACGTGCGCAGGTCAATTGTTCCCCGAATGCCTTCGAATTTTTACTGCAGATTCCTCGCACCAATTAACGCGACATACATCCGTGAGTTTTTTATTAAAATATGCGAAGCGGTAACAATTACACGCTTCATACGCGTTGCAGATGGACTATCCGTAACACGGGTCACTAAAACTTTTACTGCAAACATCTAGGGACCTACTTCGGAGGGAAGATCGATTTTGCTGTTTCACCGAGTTTATTGGAAACAAATGGAAATCGCGAATTAGCGATAAATTAGAATTGAAATTTCAATTCAAATTGTACATTCGAATATATATTTTTTAATTTAAATTATATTAAATTTTAAATGACTACAAAATATATTATTATAAATATTATATACTAATAATAATAAATAATATTAATATACTAATATTACTACAAAAATATTTTGTGCATGTAAACCGAAATAATTCGTCGATCTTTATAGTAATTAATTCGATATGTATAATAAATTTGAAATTTCTTGGTGTCGTGACGTGAAGGAAAAATTACTACTTTATGGAGCAAGTATGTATAGAATTTTCTATCACGGGATTTTGTATTGTTAAATTTATGAAAATATAAATTTGGTTAATACATCGAAATACGGAATACTTAACGAGTTATAATTATCGCCATACTTCTTATAGTTTCCATATTGTAATTACGTTTAGTAATACTGAAAGATGGATGAAGAAGTATTTTTATTTTATTCTCCATCTTTACAATTTTCTACACAAGAAGTAACCTAGAGTAAATATCGTGATTAATACGAACGGTAGTATAGATATATATCCAATCACGCGAACTTAGAAGTTCAATCAAAAGCTCTCGTATAACCTCCCTTTCCAAAGATTCCAACGACTGCCATATTTCCGCTCAAACTTCCAATCCATTCATCCTAATGCAATTTACAATCCGACTAAAAATACACCTGTAATTGAACGTCTATCTGAAATATCATTCGATGAAACGGATCCATGAAAAGCATTTTCAATCGAATTAATGTACCAACATCTCTCGGATAAATGGTTATTTTCGGTAAAATAATTTTCACACCGATCGAAGCAAAATAATCGCACGCTATAGCAGGTAATGCGTTCCATTTTTAAATTACGTATCGAAGAGATAACGCGTTTCATTTCGATGAGATTGGTCGTAGAATGTCAAAGAATTCTATTGGTTGCGGGCGAAAAACGGTGCAGCCGTGGTTGCCAATTATTATGTTCCACATAGTGCGAACGCAGTTCTATAGATATACATAGGGCTTCTCTATATGCTGTCAGTTGAATCAGGATTAGTCAGTCGGTACGTCGCGCCACCACGCGCTCTGCAATGGAGGCAGTCGCGAATTACCTCCGTACCTTGACATCAGAAATTTAGTGGCGGTCCCTTTCCTAATCAGATCAACTGACTGCTAGGTTTCGCCTACTTAACCCGGCCGAATTGATTGCAGGCTGGAATTCGTTACTTCTTCCGGAAGGGATCCCATAAAATTCAGACCGTCGACGGAATTTTTGCCAAATACGGGAAAAAGGTTTTAATTAAAGGAAAGAATCGGTGAAGCGTATAATAGAATTGCAAATAGAAAAATAAAATTGGAATGGTAACATAATTTTGTTGTAATTAAATAAGGACTTATAAATCGTTTGAAACTTTGCGAGATTTGACGAATTAACACAAATTTTCTCCAAGGTTTTCTAGTTCGTCGAAGACGTAGAAAATGTCCGGTATCTTTACTCCTGAGTTCTGAATAACGAAACGAAAGAAATTCGGCTTTCCGTGGAGTGGTTGGTAATTGATCATTAAGCTACCTCTCTTTGTCATTTTTTCCTTTAACTTTGGTGCAACCTATAAAATAATTCAATTTTAGTTAAATATATTTCACGGACATATTCTCTTCTAATATGATTTGTTTACTGTTGATAAAATAGATATATGTTGTCGATCAAATTATTTATCTATCGCCGGTATACTATCATTGGTATTTATTTACCGTCGAAATTTACCTATCATTGTAATTTATTTACCGTCGGAATTTACCTACCGTCGAAATAAAACTACCGTCAAAATTTACCTACTGTCGAAATTTATGTATCGTCTAAATTTACCTACTGTTCAATTTTATCTACCGTCAAAGTTTATCTACCATCGGTATTTACCTCATATCGATATTTATCTATATTTTCATACAAACACAAAATACTTAATATTTTTCGTTGCACAATTTAACTCAATGATTTATGAATATATCTATATAATACACATTAATAAAAGAATTATTTTTTACATTTGATACGAAGTGATTTATGCGTTATATATAAAATTTTAGAACTCATTTAATGAATTTATATTTGATAAATTTTTTTTTATTATTACTTACTGTCAATAACTTAATTTATATTTAATTAATATATCATGAAAAAAAATAAAAATAAGATAAAATGTATATTTAAAACATGAAAAAATTTCAAACATTCTTAAAACACTAAATATAATACACTGAAAAAAACAGTTGATATATATTACAAATAAATGAACAATTATCTATACATGTAGTATTTGGATAATTCGTCATTCGAAAATATTATACCTCAATATCTAAGTACTACAATCAGAAAATAAAAAATTAAACTTACCTCATTTAATCGTTTCTTGTAATCGTAGGATGCATTCTGAATCCTCAAAGAGGGTGGAATAAACCAGAAACACACATTTATAAAACACGAATCTGTTACTAATCTAAAACTATCTCTTTTCTCAACTTCTTCTTTGAAGAGAGCTGACAGTGTCATTAAATGATCAACATGTTTCTCAAATCCTGAAGTACCCTGCAATAGACTCATTTTTAATCCTTTAAACAATACTTTATTCTTAGCAAATATGTTAAGAGACATCATTTTAATAGAAGTATATAATATATTAAATGATATGAACCTCGTTTACAATGTTATTAGTTTCCTTTGAATTCGATCGAGAAATAATGTTTTAAATGACAACTATACTTCGATGTAATAGGGACACTTTTCTTGTAACAAAGAGTGTAATTTTATTAAAAATTTTATATAATCTAGTTTATATTAATAACAATAAACACTAAACTTTTATCATCTTTAACATCTTTCAAATATATAAATAATAGAACTATTTATAAATTGCAATTCGTTTCATGTCAGTGGTTATAGGAAGAAACTACACAACTCAAAATAAGTGACAAAGCGACACATTTCCAAACAATATTATTCCAATTTTTTTAGTGATTTTTATTGGTAATATTCTTGATAAATAAAAGGAAAAGTAATAGTAGAAACTTTGTACACATTCTCAAAAGAGGATAAATAAGAAAGCAGTACAGATTAGTTTGTCTATTGACATGTCTGTCGATTGGTGTTGCAAGAGACGATAGAAGAAATTTCATTCGCGGAATAATTATAAAATACTAATACTTAAAATTCGTTTCATTAAAACGCGATGTTTTTTTCACATAATTTGTCTCATAACTTCTCAAATTTGATAGAAAATCTACAGAACAAATTCTAAATTGTGATGCACATTCCAATGCTAGTGTTTAAATAACTTTCTAACATTAATATTATGACATAAAAACTTATCATTCAAACCTATAATATGTTAAGAATAATATAATATGTAAATGTGTGAATAAGGAATGGAAAATTGAAAGTTTCTGGCCTGAAAGCACTGCTATCGGCAGACCCCCTTGAGAATTTCAGGAGATTCTTTTATGATCTTGAAAATCCACTGAATAGGTGCAGTATGAACATTCTTTATTCCTAACAGGGGAAGTTAATGTATGCATAAGTATACTGGCAAACACTTGAAACATAGCATACAGACCCTTATCTTCTACGGAGTGCATCGCTGCACTTGCTTAAACCACAAAGTACAAGATGCACAATTAAAGGAAGACCAGGGGAAAAAGTGCTACCAAGGCTAGTTTTTCACATATTTGCATAAGTGGTTGACACTTAAAGATTAATAAGGGAAGAAGAGGAACCTATGTATCATGCAAGTAAGCCTTATCTTGTGCTGGGAGCATGTGAAACCTTGCATGACGCTTAAGGAAAGAGCATTCCTGAATAGAAAATATTCTCTCTACCAGAAACAAGCTAAACAATTTTACTCAAATAAAAATGAATTAAATTGGACATTCCATTTATAAAAATTACCTTAGCTTGCCACATGAACCAAAATTTCAATACATCTGGTCTGCGACCACACTGCAAATACTTATTTCCCACATCTAAATCTGTAGAGTAAAATTTATCTTTTTGAAAGAGATAAGGAACCTGTTTAGAATGTGCCTCTTTAAAAATGCATTTGTGCTTAGTTAAGAGCAAAGAGCATTGTTGAGGAACAGCCAGTAATTTATGTGGATTAAATAAAATAGAGTCTGCTCTTTGTATTCCTCTTAAGAGAACACTATGCCTTTTGCTGAATATCAAACCACCTCCCCAAGCTGCATCTACATGTAACCACATATTGAATTCTTGACAAATGTCTGCAATTTCAATCAAAGGATCAAATGCACCCAGAACCGTTGTCCCTGAAAATAAACGTAATTATTAGTAATTAAAATTGTACGGTAATATCTGTTTGTCTTCACATTTGTATTATTGCTGAACAAACCTGCAGTGGCGGTAACACAAAACGGATAGTTCCCCTTCCTTTGTTCTTGTAATATATCATCTCTCAAATCGTTAACATCCATTCTGCCATATTTGTCAGTTTTTACGAGAACAACTTTTACGTCGCAAACGTTTCCCCACTTTAAGGTTGAGTAATGCGCATCTTCGGATGCAAAAAGCACGAGGTTTGAAGATGGTATATGTTTTTCCTGAAACATAAACAATGACCACGATTAGATAACATAGATATTAAATACAAACCTTCATAAGTGCTGAAAGAAACTTCAATAAATGTATCTTACATTATATTTTATTCGATCGAAACTATTTATTATGTTTATTATTCATCATACGTAGAAGATCAAAAATAAATTCCACGACTAAGAGGAATATACAAAGAAATAAAACTAGAATATTTTTCAGCCGGCATTCTAACACAGACAGGTAACGCATACGTTAAAAACCAGTTCCACTTATTTCATCTTATCATACAATCTTATAACCAATAATCTGTACCTTCTATGAGCACTAAAGTGCAAATTACATGATGCAGTAGTGTTAAATAATTTAGAACATGGCCCTTGCCACTTTAACTGCACGATCACGATTATCAAAGCTATTTATTAATGCAGGTACTCACATTTTGAACATTCTTTCTGAACCAAAATCGTGCCAAGTTAATGGCAGTGCCATTAGCGAAGGAACCTCCAGGACAGAAAAGGCCATCTCCAAGCGTAGAACCATTTCCTTCGTTGTAAAACATGCTTAACAATTTTGTAATCACAGTGTTTTCCATTAATGTTAAAACCGGTGCTACTTCGTAAGTATATATCGAGCAGTTTAACGTATCGGTTAGCCATTGTCCAGCCAAACCGTATGGGTCCAATCTAAATAAATTTTCGTTGAATAACACGTGTTGTTGAATAATATTATGCATAGTACGTTATAGTATATATTTATATAGCATACTATATATATACTATATTGTATAGAACTTATTGTTTACCTTTATTATGTATCATATAATAATAATAAATATTATATTTAATCATACATATATTTATATATACTATATTATATTTACTAACAATAACAAATGGCGAATGACCTGCTCAAGATTTTTGAAGCATTCATAACAGTAATTAAATGGTAACTTGAATTTTTAATCGCATTTTACTGAGATTAAGTAACAATATTGATGGTGAAGTACATGAGATTGTTTTACATTCAGTACATCAATGTATTGTTACATGCTTTTTGTGAATATTAAATATAAAATTGAAAACGTCGTTAACACGCATGCAAGATAAAAGTAAATTTTACGACTCAATTTCTACCTAATAAAATTCTCGTATATCAAAACCGTTAACTATAGTTCTACACGAATACGGTAATTAAAACACTGAAACTCGTATTTTTTGCTTGGGTGTGACACGTTTATTTATTTATAAAAAGACAGGCAGTATTTAAAGTTACCATTTAAAATGGTTATTAAAAAGAAACGAGTTTCATAAATAAGATTTAATTTAACACCTTGACAAGTGAATCTATTTATGCAGACCTGGCTCGTGAACGTTTCAGATCTAAGGTAATGAAAATAATTGTCACTCCTAATTCATATTTCACACTAAATTATGATAAATCTCATAGCAGACAAACAATTAATTCCAAGCATTTATAATATACAGGGCATTTCCAAACATTGCATTCAAATTAACATTAACTTGTCAAGATTTAAAATATCAAACAGATGAAAAAAGCTTATATAAACTTACGAAAATGATCATCAACCAATACAATCATGTGATACAAAATTATACAATCACTAAGCACCGTACAAGCTTCTCAATTTTTAAAAAATTTTTAATAAATAATTTTTGAACATAGAGTTACATGAACTATTTTTATGTGTTTCATGTTTCTCAAATTATTTACCTATATGCGAATAACAATTTTTGCAATCACACTTGAATCGAAGCTCATGCACTTGTCTATATCTTACCCGGAAAACAACTGATTCATGAAGTAAGGATGTCCAGTCTTAACGCTGTACTTGAAAACCTTAGACGCGATCTCCAATAGGGTATCTTGTTTACGGGGTTCTTCTTGTAACTTGAAGTTTATGATATCCTCCAAATGGCCTGGTTCTCTCCATCTCAATACAGGATTTTCACGGGATACACTTTCGAAGGTGCAATCGATCAAGGTCGCGATAAGCTTCTCGAGAAATTCTTTGTGCCTTTCCACGCATGGTGTGCTCTGCCAATCCGACATTAAAATGAACGCTTCACGCCAGAAAGCGTCGCGAAAATGGGAAAGCAACGTTGAAGCGAAAAACGCACTGATTCGCTCACGATTGACCTCTACCATATATAAGCGAGGTACAAGGTCCTTGCGAATTTACCCAATTGCGCTTAACAAGGAAACAAAAGGTCGGTATTCGGGGTAGGAAATTTACGGGACATAGTGACCGATTTGCATCGAATTAAACCTGCGAATACATTAAGCAAAGTAGCCTCGGTGAAACTGACCAGCGTGATTGATCTTGAAAATGAAGTAAGAGTTTCAGAAATGGAGAAACACTTATTTACTCAATGTAATTTAATATTTATTTAAATGCGTAATATACACAACATTTGGTATAGAAATATGTACACATGAAATATTGATAAATTATACAGAGCAAAATATACTTCATATTCAGTCCTTTATACCTTGCAATTCTCTAATCCCTAGGAGAATCAGTTTAATGTGAGCATTTGTCTTTGCTACCTGTTTACGAATATGCGTAATCTGTTGTTCCAGTAGTTTCATTCGAAGATTGATAAGAGCTAGAGCATCATTCAGCGAAAATTCCAAATAATGTCCTAAACCAATATCCAACAGAATTGTGGAAGCATCGGGAATGTGTGCTTCAATAAAGAAATTTTGTCCAATATCTACTTGAGTTTTAAAGCCGTCCTTATTAAACTGATTATTTTGAATAGTCGATATCATAGTCTTTAACTGAAGGAATTCAGCAAAATCTTCATTTTTATCATCGAGTTTCTTTTGAAACTTTGCAAGATCCTCCTTTAATACTTCATTGATAAATGTTTCAAATTTTAATATCTTTCCCTGAATATCAGGATTCATAATCGAGCAGCCTGAATAACACAAGAATTATGAAAGGATTTCATATTTATCTCATGATATTACAAGCTTCATAAAATCATAGAAACTAAATAGTGCAAGCATACAGAATATAGGTTATGATAATTGCATTATATGTTACTATGCATAAAAAATACAATTTGTTATTAAATACACTTACCAGAGATATATTATGTATAAGTACTAAATTCTTCCACGATGCACACACCGTATTATTCAAAATCAATCAATCTTGTCCAGAAATAAAACACAGGCAACCATTGAGGTTAACACAAACATAATAAGCATATAACTTGTATTTAACCATTCTACGCAATTACAAACTAACATACGGAATACTATATTTTACAATGAGTATTCCGAAGGCACAAAGATTATCTAAATACACGTACATTAGTTAAATAAAACACACTGTTTATAAACCACACGTCTAATTCAACGCTCACGACAGTGCGCCAAATATTCTTCTGGCGGAAACTACCGGGAGCTTGTAGCTCTACTGGTACGACAGATTTCTACTCGAAGAAAATGGAAATAAATTTAGAAAAGAAATTTATGCAAAGTATCTCCTATATCATTTAGAAAACGAGTAAAGATAAATTAAAACACAAATTGCCAGTTTTTATAAAATAATCAATACCTTCGTGTTATAAATAACTTCTTTCGCTTGTAATCGAACACTTACCAATCGAATACCATTACAGCAGACAACTTTAATGTCTCCAACTAAATATATATACTAGCAAATAAATAGACAAATTAGTTAAACGGAATTGTAGCAACTAATTAAATAATTACTGTATTTAAATAGTAGTGCACTTTCTTCGAATCAGGGAGCAGAAAAAAATGATGTGCAGATTCCCGATACGTATCATCGTTCCATAAATTAAAATACTGTATCTCATTGTCAGATGAAAGCGCGAGCAGGTGTTGGTGCGCGTATACCATAACTGCGTTGCATTAAAATTTATGAATCAGCCGGGACCCGAGTCCAATAACGCGAACTCGGCCTCCAAAGATGTGCTACCACTATTCAGCTCTAGGATTACATTAATTGGCTCGATAATTCGGTACTTTGTGAACGCCACGGTCGCTTGGTGTCATTGCGCGACGGCACGTGATGTAAATTTACATAGTTGCCGGCGATCGCGCTGCGATCACGCTTACCTTTGCTCATCTGACCGTGTAGTAATTCAGTCACGCGCAGATAATTCTGTAACTAACAATTTAGAAAATGCTATAGAGCTACAGTGAAAAAACTGTTGATTTCCATATTCGATTTACGATGCCACGATCTGGTATAGAGGTAGTGGATATTGCTTCGGTAAGAGGCAACCCGATTCGCGAAGGAATGAAATGTGAGAAGGGGAAACGAAAGCTGATGAACAGCAGCGTGACGTCTTTATTACGGTAAATAAGCAGCCAGTTAAGAGGGCGCATAGAAATATTAACGTAGAATTAAATATTTCGATTCTGCTTCCTAATTAAATAATATATTATTTCTTATCCGTGTTACGGATATTACCAACGATAAATACTAATAACAAATTTAAAGTAGAATTTCGATAATCCAGCATACGATGTTTGGCATAGACGATAGTGTCTGTACAGCAACATAACCTATTGGCAAAATTAGTTATCAATAGCGTAATGACGTTTGTATCACCAAATTATTACGAATTAAATTTTTCCTAATTGAAAAGAATCATAACGATCCCAAAATGCTGAATATCGATTAAGGTATATAATTTTCTGCTGGAGTGAGGTTAGGTGTAACGAAATGTTTATCTATATAATATTTAAGCTTCGATATTTAAAATTCTATTTCACTGTGAACGTATATATAAAATAGTAAAAGTAATATAGTAACCTTAACTATAATTCGAAGTTGGAATGTAACACCTACTGTCACCCTGACGAATATATTCTCGCAATGACGAACTATGACAAGGCCTATATATAAACACGTTACATAATTCACGTTTAAATAAAGCCTGCACGAGAAGCACGGCATCCAAATTTTCATTACACTTCCCTCACTAAAATAAACAATCACCAATCTTAAACTATACATCGATTAACTATTAAACGAAATATATTTTACGCATCCTTCTTTAACAAACGCGAATAAAAGAAGATACACGAACGTATATCCAAAACCTGAAAGGAAAAGACATATTTATTTATTTCAGGTATCCGGATAAGATCGAGAATTTATATTTATGAAATATGTACAGAGATAAGCACCAAAAGTAATCCCGATAACATCACCTATAGTACACAAACACGCAAACAGGATACGATCATATTTACCCAATGCCTACTATTTTACAGCACCTTAATCTCCGTGAATATCACACCTGGCGTCAAAGACTCTTAATTACCTTTTATCGAGGAAGTGAAAGCCGCAGCAGCGATAACGAAGTTATCACGCGAAACGTTGCAGAAGCTCTTCAAACGACCAAGGTGCAATCTCTTCCCTTTTGCAACGATCCTAAAATGGAAACAGCTCGGCACGATATTTTACGTAACTGGCCTCATATACGAGTCGCATTCCAGACGTTGATTGATATCGAGACCTGCATGCTACGATACTTCTGAGGTCCTTCAAGGCTATCGGGATTCGAAACATTCAAATTAATCTCGCAGCGGTACCGAAGTGTAGCCGGTAGGCGTTAGCCCGTATCCACGACCAAGGATTTCATCTAGGAAAGCACGTATATCGTGGCTCGTCCCACACGTTGCTCAAGTCCAGTGATTTCGGGTAATACCGGTTCGAGACCGGCAACTCGCGGATACTGCAATCTGCAATTCGTACACCTCTTAATTTCAAAGATGCGCGTTCTCCGTAGATCTTAATGAATATTCTTACAACACTTACCCTCCGTCCAGGGGAACACGCGCCATTTCTCGTGAAATTTCATCAACTGGATAGCGTGCTAAGCCGAACCAGGTAGCCCGGGCCTTGATCGCCTTCGGCTCGAATCGAACCATTCACGCCCATTGGTGACTTTAGTTCTTATGCGGGATTTATACCTGCTCTTGGCTCTGTCAGGAGATTTATACACTTTGTATCCGCCGGAGATGTAATTTGGCTCGGTGTTGGAATTTTCGAAAATTCTGCTCAGGGTTTGGTGAACGATTGTACGACTGCATCCGGACTTTATACAGGGTGAGCGTGAAATTCCATCGCTGGATTTATGGGTAGAGCGTGTGTCGGGATCACGTGAGAATTGTTTTCGATTTAGGGCCTCGGATAAATCGGTGTGTCGGATTTCTTGTCCCGAATACGAAATCATTCTTTCATGCGATTGAAAGATATATTTCTCTATTCTTTTTATGAATTATTCGATTGGTCGAAAAATAATATAAAATCAATACCATCTTATGTTAATCGTATCTACTGAATTTATCTAATACAGACCAAATAAATTTACCTAATACTTTTATAATATTTTTAGGAATACTACTCATCTGATACTTTTTAATAATTAATAAATTGAATTAGGAAAAATAGAAAAATTTGCCAAATTATGCAATTATTCGATTAAAACGATATTTTATAATTATAATATTTTAATATTATAATTGTAACACAGACATTTTTGGCACCCTGCAACCATAATTGGCTTCTTAGTTTTCTGAAATACGAAAAAAGAAGAGAATGACGAAGGAAAAGAAGAAATAGATTAATATTTGAAGATAATAATTCGGCACATGCAACAAAAAATCTATCGCGCAGCTTGGTCTGAAAGCCAATTAAACAGATTCAAGCGAATTAATTAGTTCACCAAGCAATTTACTAGGATGACAAATACATTTTAAACGGAATCTCCGTTGCATCGGAGTGAGATTGCTGTTTTCTTCTTAAATAAGCAATGCACATATTGTGCTGAAGTTAACCGTGACTTTAAGACACAATAGTAAAGGAACGAATCGTTTTATTGACAATGTCGAGAATGGGGGGCGGGTTAAATGGCAAGCTATAGAGGAGTCGTTTAAAAATATCGTGTTGGAGCAGCTACAGGGTGAATCATAATGTACGACACCAACGCAGGACTTACAATGTAAAATGATATAGAATTAATTCAATTGTGTAGTACGCATCACAATAGCAATCATGGTAATTACAATTATTCACGTACATTAACTATTATTGTATGTGTATAATCACTATAGAAAATACAATTATATAATAATATCTATTGTGGGATTAAATACAGAGTGATCGTAATTCTGAGATATTTATTGAAACGTTCTTTTCAGCGTATATCTGTTAAATTAAACAGAAAATTATTAGTAGCTTGTACAATTTTAAGCATTTATACAAAATTGAAATATCTAAATTTGCAATGAATTTTCCATAGTTCATATTTAAGAACATGAAGTATATCCAAGCATAATAAAGTTCTTATACGGTACTTATAGTAATTAATATAATAAATATATTAAAGTTACCTATACCATACTATATTTATCAATACAAGTTAGAATATATTTCCTATCATAAATTATTTAAAAAATCAATTTTGGCATAATGCGTGTTCAACAATATGATATTAAGTAATTGTTATACCAAAACCATCATTTACAATTACTCGAATCAAAATGCTATAGTGATTTGAACATTTCTGATGAATTTAGCAAACTGCAAACTTTGTAGATACCATTAAACGTAGTTAATGAATTAACTTTGAAAATTAAGCAATAAATCCTTTAAGACTATTCACAGTACTCACTATCGCGACATACGGAGAACGATGGCCTGATAGGACCACCATAGGATTTACAACGCGCCCCATAAAATTGGCTCTAATCGTTCTCTATAAAACTGCTTCCATCGTATCTATCAAAAATGATCAGGACTCATAAATCAAGCGAAACAAGTGGCGCATTTATCATTAAAATTTCTCGACCTTCGTACGCTCCGGATACAATCAGTCGGTGATCACGCTGTTATGACACACCCTGTAGATTCACGTCGTCGATCAATTTCTTGGTAGCAGCGAAATAAGCTCTCGCCGTGATTTAAGTTTCCTTTCTATGTTTACCAGGAACAGACGGTAATTGTTGGGGAAAAAAATGGAAGGCAGCAGAACGAATACCTAATTGCTTGGTTGTACGTAAGGTAATTTCGATTCCGTGATCCCGGTTTCGGTGGTTTCTTTTGCTTTTCGGATTGGCCACGACCGAGCAAGGGAGCCGCTA